CCTTGCACCACGTTTTGTACCTTCTTCTTTTGGTCGTTGCTGCATTTGTAGTATCCGACAATATTCGCCCCGCTCAGAACCAAAGCCACGAAAACGATCACCAACCATTGCACGGAGAATTTAAGGAGGGCCACCAAGAAGAAGACCGACCATACAATGGGCGTCACGTACAATCCAGTCCAAAACAGGCGAGCATCCGCGGGGTGGATTTCTCCCGGGTTCTCGACCGATTCGAACACCCACTCATTGCTGCCATCGTCCCGCACGTTGTTCCACCACCGGAGGCCGACGAGGAGGCGCCCCGTGACATTCTTAACTGTCCAGAAATCGAAAGCCAGCAACAAGATGCAAACCACGCAGATAAAGACGAAATTGGAAGAGAAAAAGCCACCGAAAAGGTAGAAAAAAATGGCTAGAGCCTTGAAGACGAAGTGAAATGCTGCCGCGACGGGATGCTATGGTGGGGTGAAAAGGCAAGAGAAAGTCCGACATTAGGGATTTAATCAGTAGGAAGCACGGAGCTTTAAGACTGCAACAAATAGAACGCAAAATGCGCAACCAGCACCAAGGATGAGAGGTGGGAAACAGAAGGGGCCGGGCCTGATGCAGGCTTGTGAGTAAGCGTCCTCACTTTCTCCAAGTTCCACTTAGCCCTTCAAATCCCCGCAGCAACTCGAAAAGGTATGTATGCATCTCTTGATGATTGCGAACACGTACCCTGGACTGTTTGATGAAAGCCAGGGCGTCGCCGGCGGGGGGAGGAGGCGGCCCGGAGGCCGGGGCGGCGCCCATGGGGGCATACGGGGTCTGTCCTGAGGCTTGGTTCGAAACTGAGGTCTCAGGGACCCTGATAAACTATAGATAGGAATCCAGGGACGATGGAGTGAGGTCGTAAGGGCGTGAATGTATTTAAATCGAAGAATAACGCGATTTCACGAAGAAGGAAGTCAGGACGTGAAAAAGGTCCCAGGAAACCCATCATGTCCGCAACAACCTCACGAGCCTGAACATGAGACACTGTTCACTTCGTGTGTCAATCACCTGTAATTCGTCGTCTCCTTGGGCGTGCCCTTCCATCATGATGACTGAAGGGAATGAATTGGAAGCGTTGGGCGGATGTTCTAACTCGAACCTTGCGTCTGTTACTTCCCCTCTCGTCTAGGGGGGCCCGGGAAGGTGGGTGGGGAAAGAAATTAGGTGATGCGAGCATGCTTCTGCAAGCGACCGAGCGAAAACCATATTCAAAGCCCAGTCTATCCAGGACTGCCCGCTCAGCGCAGAAGGCGCACGTGCCCCATGGGCACGGCGGGCGTGAGAAAAGAGCAAGCTGGGGGAGGGGCGGGGAGACGCGAAGGGGGAGGATCGGTTCGTCTGCCTTTTCCGGCTCGAGTGAAAACGCCTGGTTTGGGGCCCGCCTCTGTGGCGTGCGCGCGGGATTTGGCATACTTTCTATGCCTGCATGAGTTGATGGCACACATTTGAGCGCTTGAACGGATGTTCTGGGCCTCGTTGTTACCGTAAAGGCTAAAGGAGTACTGCGGGTGGTCAGGGGCCCTGCTCATCATCATGCGCAAAGGGTCGTTCATGGCCTTGGACCACAGCCATCCTGTGCTTTGATTTCTCCCGTCCCGTTGTCTTCTTGCACAAGCTCCTCTCAGCCCTGATTATTTTTTATTCACAGGGCACTTGCCCCGTTTGCCTTCAGGTTGCCTTGTTCAGTGCGGTTGCAACGTGGGCAAGAGTATCGAAGGCCGAGGCCCTGCTTGTCAGCGCCCCTTCCTCTTTGAGACAGTCTCTTTACGCATTCCGCGATAAGACGGTGTAGAGCGGACAATGATAGTTAACAGCGGCACAGGTGCTGATGGTCGTAGTGGCGGCGGCATTGGCAGCGGCGGCAATGGGGAAGAACAACAAGCGGCCTCGCTCAGTCACCCACGTCAAGGGTATCAAATGTCCAGCCCATCCGTGTCTTCCACACCGCAAAGCCAGCCTCATTCCTATGGTCACGGAGCTGGACAGTCTTCACAGTCCTCGCACCACTACCAGCCGCATCAGCACCCCTCCGGTCCTCAATACCCACCCACGCACAGGGGCGTGCTCTATTGTTCCACACGAGGGGGGTGTCGGGATGTGACATTTGAGGAGGTCGTCATGGGCGGTCTGGCTCCCGACAAAGGACTGTATGTGCCCCAGGAACTCCCTTACATACCTCCTGAACAGCTTGAAAAGCTTCGTGACGCTTCTTTCGTGGAATTGGCAAATTACATCATGCGCCTTGTCGTCGGGCCTGAGGACATCCCCCCGGAAAACTTGCGAGTCTTGATCGAGTGCAGCACCAAAAATTTCCGGGTGCACGAAGTGGCCCCTGTGCGGAAGGTGGGCCCCACTTGGGTGCTTGAGCTCTTCCACGGTCCCACATTTGCGTTCAAGGACGTGGCATTGCAGTTCCTCGGCAATGTCTTCGAGTACTTCATGGCGAAGAAGAAAGGCGACCCGGACGTAAAGCTGACGGTCTTGGGGGCCACATCGGGGGACACAGGATCGGCGGCGATCGAAGGCTTGAGGGGTAAGAAGAATGTGAATGTCTTCGTGCTCTACCCCAAAGGAAGGGTGAGTGAGGTCCAGGAACGTCAGATGACAACAGTCTTGGACAAGAACGTGCATTGCATCGCGGTTGAGAACGCCACCTTTGACGACTGCCAAAGCATCATCAAGTCCGCTTTCCAGGATAAAGAGTTCCGCGAGAAAGTCTGTCTTGGGGCGGTCAATTCGATCAACTGGGCCCGGGTCCTGGCGCAGGTCACCTATTATTTCTTTGCCTACTTCCGCGTTTTGGCTCAAAACGAGCGGGCCATGCGGAAAGAGCAGCAGCAGCAACAACAACAGCAACGGGAAGGTAATGAGGGTGGGCGAGGAGGCGTCTCGCCGGTGACAGAGAGCAAAGCGACGGGGAGCGGCGGGTCTGGGAAGGACGGGGGTGCGTCGGATGGAGAACGGCGTGATGGACGATTTGGAGCGGATGAAAGCGCAGCAGGA